CTGGCGAACGGCTTGCACTTGTCGCGACCTGTGCTGCTGTCTCTGAGATACATCTTTCTCCCACGGCTGCTGTCCCTCCTTGCCTTGGGTTGGTTTCGGGAGCACCCGGCGAAGGGTCGCTGTTGATCCTCTCTTGGGTTTTGAGAGCGTTGTAAATCCTCCAAAGCTCTAGCTGCGTTAATTTAGTGCCTTCACCATCTGGCATCGTGGTGTCAAACCCCTGGGAAGCCGCATCTCTAGAGAGGGCAGGACTGAAGGGCTCGTGCCTTCCCCCTGCATGTGCTCAGCTCTGGTGTAGACCTGGGCATTGCAATAAAGCAAATATTCTTGCGCTTCTCTCGAGAAGGAGCTGCCAGGAGCCATCTTTGACTTGAGGGGTCTCCTCCTTCCCAGAGCAATAGGCAAAATGGACCAAAAAATGAGTAGAAACCTCTTGGTATGGTGAACCCGGTTGCCTTCTGCAGCCCTGGGTGAAACCCTGTGGGTAGCTGCCATGATGCTCATGTGTCCTCTCCTCTTTCACCCACCCATGAAAGGATGTAGAAAGAGAGACCTTGCTGCACACTTCTCCAGGAACAAACCCCCCTCCTCATTAAGGAGCTGGGGTGGTACTGGAGAAGCAGCATAGATATATAGGTGCCCCTTCACCATGCTTCCCTTCCCACCTGCTGTCTCACCCAGAACTTCTTGGCGTTATCTGTGTTGTCTGGTGTCCTCTCGCCCCTCCTCATCCAGATCCCAGGCAGGTTAGGAAGGGTGCTGTGCTCCTCCAACCGCTCTGCTTGGCGGCTGCTTCGCATGAGCCTTCCCACCCCAGCAAGCACCAAGCGGGGCAGCTCAGTCTGTCTCTCAGCTTTCGGGGCTCCGCTTGGGCTGGTTGAGTCTTGCAACAAACTCTCTGATGGCTTCAGGTTTGGAAACTCTTGCTGTTTGGGTGCCCCTTGCTGCCGTCCGGTGTCCTCTGCCCGGTCTCGCGCGGCGTTACTGACACCTCTTTCCATTTTCTCTGTCTCTCTGCAGCCTTTACTAGGGAAGGCATGCCTGTAAGTACCTTCTTGCGTCTTATTCCCCCTTTTGCCCCCCCACCTTTCCATGTCTCTTGCCATCCCACCGGTTGTTTTGTTGTTGCTGTGAAACCTGGCCGGGGTGTGGACTTTTTGGAGTTAATATTTCTCTGTGTGTGGGGGATTTGGATGCATCTTAGGAAAGGTAAAGAGGAGACTATGGGTGCTGCTTTATCCAACCCTTAAGTTTCCTAGCTTGATTAAAGGTCCCAATTTTGTTGAGAAATGAAGCAAATTATCACTTGCCCTCTATTGATGATGTCTAAACTCCTTGGACATTCAGGGGATGAGAGATGCTGTTGGGTTTTCCTGGGGTTAT